AAATTTGCAAGTCTCCTGTGCAGGATCAGAGCAGGAAGGGACATGGGTTTCTGAGTCACAGCAACCTGCATTCAAACCTGGGCCCTGGCCTCCCACCAGCCTGCAGTTTCCTAAAACGAGGCAGGCAGTCACTTCGCAGTCGTTGCAATGACGGAAAGAGATTAAATGCACCAAGTCCCAAATCCAGCACCTGCACCTACAGGTACCCAATAAACAGAAGTGAGTACTCCCCGGGTGCTGCCAGGTGAATCACGGAAGGGGTATCCTTGACAATGCTTGCTCTAAGTGGAGTCGGGGAGGTGGGATGACAGCACTTGGCTCAAGCACACCGCTCATGGTAAGACCACTAGGGTTCGAGCCGCAAGAATGGGCTGCAAAACCATGGTTCTTCTGGATAAACTCACTCAGTCTCCTGCTGGGAGACCTGAACCATGTGAGGAGGATTAGTAGAGATGGCTCTTGAATTTTGGGGTTAAGAGAACAGGTTTTGAGACAAAGAGACATGGAGTATGAGGTCTTAGCACTACCAACTTCCTATGATATGAAATCAGTTACCTCTCTGAAGCTTAGTCTTCTAGTCCAAAGAATGGGAATAAAAATGGTGCCTTCCTTACAGGATTTCTGCATAGATTAAATGAAATGATGCATGAAAGGTAGTTCACAGAGCATGTTTAAAGGGTTCACTTGCAGGTCCTCTGTCCCTGTGCCACTCTTTCTCCTTAGCACTTATGGACACACTATTAATCTATTTGTTTACTCTCTTGTCTCCCCGAACAGAATTAGCCACAAGGGCAGGGATTTATTTGTTTAGTTCACTGCCATACTCCCAGCTCCTAGAAATATGACACTAGGCACACAGTAAGTGCTCAGTAAATATTGGTTGAATAAATGGCTCAGAAGCAGGCAGACTAAGACAGAGGGGTACTGAGTTTGATATAACAGTGACTATAATGGCAAACTGCATGGGGAAATTGCAGGAAGAATCTCTTTGTTCTTTGTTTCCTATATGTCATCTAAGGCCACTTTGAGTTCAACGTGAAACAGAACACAGAAGATTCAATTTATGAGACCTCAATGGCCCGTCCAGTGCAGGCCAGGCACTAGGAGGTAGAGGCCAGGAAGGCCCAACCTTTATTGGGGCTCACAGTCTTGTGGGCAGACGCCCTGTGCAGTCACCAAGGCCCCGGGCTCAGGAGGGCCCTCAACTCGGTTAATGCTCTGCTGTTGCCCTCTTAGAATTCTTTTTTTTTTTTTTTTTTTTTTTTTCATTTTGCAACCAGGCTCTACCAATTATGCAGCCAGGCCTGCTAGTGGAAAACATCTCCATACTGAAGTAGATACTACGAAGCAAGATCCAAGAAAATATGAAGGAGAGAAAAATGCACACGGGAAGGAAAAACAAGAGCCACAAGTCACTCCCTACAGAAGCTGGTCCCTGATGGAGGTACAGGCAGCCAGCATCAGCTCAACGTCCTCCGTGGGAGAGGAGATTCATGTAATTATCACAATTACAACTCTACACATGTGTATGATTTTGCCCAGTGGACACTCAGGCCCTCCCAGGGTCATATAATAGCCGAGTGAAGCAACCGATGACAGAAGTGGGGGCCAAACCCAGGCCTATCCCTCCGTAAGGTCAAAATTCATGGAGAAAGATGTAAGGGTCAACAGAGGTGGTAGTTCAGAGGCCAAATATTCAAAGTGGGAGCGAATTCTAGAGATGCCAGCTGCAAGTGTGAACAGCCGTGTAGTTGCTGAGTGGAGAGAATGGGACAGTCATTTGCACGGTGGTCAAACCCTGCAGGATCCCCAGTGCTCCTAGCCTCTTCCCAGGGGGACTGAGCATCCCTTAGTTGGCATCAATTTTCGTGATGCTCCCGTCTTGTCGTATCTGTAAATGGAACAGAAATCTATTTGTTTATATGTCACCCAGACTGAGACAAGTGGGCAGAATTCTGAGATGGACACAGACTCCGGGCCCTGGTGTGGGTGCCATGGGCGAGCCCCATTCCTGAGTGTGGTGGGACCAGGGAACGGGGTGAGGCAGTCGCTCCCTTCATCAGGATATGCTGTATGGCCCAGGTGATGGGAGGGTTGCTCCTGTGACAGCAGTCCCTTACAAATCCCGCGGTGGCAGAGTCTCCTGCTGTCTTGAAGCAGCAAGCTGCTGTGATTCCTATAGTTGTAAGAAAATGAATTCTGCCAGCAACCAATATAAGCCTGGATGAGGACCTGAACCTCAGATGAGACCCCAGCCCTGACTGCAGCTGAGTGAGACCCGAAGCAGAGGACCCAGCTACACCTGTGTCTGGATTCCTGGCCCATGGCAACTGTGAGACAACAGCTGGGCACTGCTTAGAACCACTGAGCTTCAGTAACCTGTTACACGCAGCTGATAACCGATAAGGCAACTTGCGCACCGACACCTTTTGGCAGGACTTAACGAGACAGACTGTCAACAGGGACAGGGAAGTTCAATGTAAGAAACCACTGAGAAAGAGCAAGGAACACCAACAGGTAGACAGGCACAAAAGAAGAAGTACTGAATGGCCATGGGAAAGCATCGCTGGGGAGCACAGACATCCAGCCCTCGCCCATCCTCGTGGGGGAGGGAGAGAAGGCACCACCACACTTCGGACGGTCATAAGCAGAGTGGGTTCCTCTGGGGAATTCCAAGGCCAGACCAAAAGGGGAAGGGAGCATGGAGGATGAGGCAGGGGTGTAAGGGAGTTTACGGTTTACCACTAAAACCAGATTAAGACAAGGAGGCCAAAATCCTGCTGCTTTGGCCTATATGTTTGCTTGGGCAGGCAAGAGAAAAAAAATTGTTTAAACTCTAATGAACATTTTCCTGTGCTTGACTTGGAAACGCTGGATTAAAAAAAAAAAATTCACTCCTGATCCACACTCTGGAAACAACACAACCGTATTCTCTCCCCGGGGCCCTGCCTGGCATACAACCGCTTACGTCTCATGCCAGACTGAGGCAGCTCCTAGCAAAGCCACCTGCTCACCAGTTCCCACAGTCTGAACAGTGTAGCTTCCAGAGGGTATCAGAGGAGGCCGGCAGCAGCCTGCACACGCAGCAGGCAGGGGAAGAGTGAGAGAACTGGATCGATCTTGCTCTGCATCAGTCAGCTTCATTCTGGGCCTGAGATGGTCAGTTCTTGAGACATTTCCCAGAAGGCCTTTGGAGAAACTGTCTGAATTACAACACTGATTCTGCAAAGTGTACATCCCTATTTGCACCTTACAGGGATGTAGCTGGGAAAGGATATAGGCTGCTCCCTATCACATAGCATTCAAGGTGATAGGCCCCTCTAGGGGCCTGCCCAGCATGACACAGTGGACACAGCACGTGCAGGAGTCAAACCCTCTATTCCCGGCTGTGAACCAACACCGATACGCTCATCTTAGGAAGAACACAGGGAGCAGCCATCCCCCAAGCTCATCATGGACCTAGCTCTCTGCACAGAGCCCCACAGACCATGCCACAACCCTGAAAGGTACTGGTCAGAAGGCACACGTATTTTCCTATCATTGCTATTTCTGAGTCCTTATAAACTGAAACAATTAAAAATACTATGCTGTCAGCTTATGAAGGGCAATTTAAAAAGACAAAAATTGTTCTTTGCCCTAAAACCAATGTAAGTGAGAGCGCTAACTGCTATCTCCTAGGCAAGAGCCCTGGGAGAAAGGGATGGAGGAGATCCCGACTCTGGGCCAGCGCTGTAGGGGCCTCAGCACAGACGCAGCTGCTCTGAAGGCCTCCCAGGGGCCAGTAGGCCCTTCTCCCAGCACCTCCTGTCCCAAGTAGCCCCCAAAGAGCAGACTTCCACTTCTCCCCTACCCTGCTCTCACCCAGAGAGCCCAACCAGAGACTGATCTACAGTGTGGCCCATTACTGCCCCCTCTTGGAAGTCTGGCTGATCCCAGCCTTCCAGTCCTGAGCTGGCCCCGAGCAAGAAAAAGCCCCAGGGGAAAGAGTCAATTTGTCACTGGTCCTTCCTTGAGCATAACATTAAAATGAGCACCAGTGATTGAAATAAAACATATCTTTCATTTTTGCATGCTATTCCTCCCTTATACACACAATCTTCAGAAAGAATGCATGCCCCAACAGGAGTGAATATTTTCCCTCCCTTTACTCCAACACACAAACTTCAAAGACAGGCTCAACACATTTCTGCCACTTCTGCATGTGAGATGAACCGGGAGAACATGCTGCTCTGGGTAGAGAGTGGCTGACCCCAGTTTCTGAATACATTTCCTTTTCCAATTAATTTTCCTCCTCCTCACAAGATGAAACAGACTTTCTTTTTAAAAAGAACAATATCCTTGAAACTCTTGTTTACTTTTTTAAACCCTGAGAGTTTGAGTGTAAGACTAGCTCCTTGGTGCAGAATACATTGTATAAGGATATATTTTATAATGCGGTGCTAAATTTTCTGTAAATCAACCAAATATGCAGTGGGAAGGCCTTAATTTTTGGCAAGAACAGAAATGCTTTTGGTTGTCTAGTCATGAAGACAGCAACTGAGGACCACACCTTAAGGGATTTTTTAAATGAGCATACCTCAAGATTTCTCACAAGCACAAAAAACACTTTGAATTAATAAATGTAAGGGGTTGAATGTCTGTTTCAAATCAGCAATGTGCTTACCTCTAAAGGGATACCTTACTAAAAGCAGGATGGAAAATCGAGAGCATAGTACAATGATTATTTCTCTAAAAAGCAGAGATAAAATCTGGAGGGTGGTGAATACTGGCAATTGTTTTCCTTCTTGTCTTTGTGTTTTATAATGTTATGAAGGTGGCTGAAAGGTAAACATACATGTAATTTTTAAAGCACTACAGTATATACTTTCTGTATAGTTTTCAAAGCACTAGTGAAAAGTCACTATATTCTTTTTTGAGACTGCTCCCTTTTGAAAGGAACAAGAGTATATCTTAGCTGCTTCAAAGAAAGGCTTAAGAACGAAAATGGAAAGTCTGCTTACCTGAGGTTTAACTTCCGATCTTCATCGCTGCCAGCCTCCAACTACGGAGAAAGAAAGAGAACGTCACATGGCTGGCAAGGAACCCCAGGTATAAGTCTCGCATTTTCTGCTCTGGTGTCTGAAAAAGATACAGATGTCCAGGAAACCTGGCTGTTTCCAAACAGCCACACCCGTTCCTTACCGATCCTGCTCTGCTGTTCCTTTGAGTAATTTCCGTGGAAGAATTTTCAAGTTTCTCAATGTTTACCCACAGTCCTGCCACTGTGTTGTGGACGGCCGCTGTCAATTGCACATTCCTATCTGGCACTCTTACTCAGCGTCCTCTTCTCAGCTTTCCAGGGCTGTTTTGGATCTTACTGGTTTTTAAGGGGAAGGAGCTATGTTTTAAGAGAATCCATTTCCTCCATCAAGCTAGGCAATAGCTGAGTGATCAACACGATTTTAAGCCCCAACACATGGGTTTAAAAAAAACAAAACCAAACCATTCTGGACAAGTCTTTCACAATGGAAGGTGGCCAGGATTAGGCTGTTTGTCTGTGGGTTTCCAAAGCTCTTGGTGGTTCTCAAAAAGCCTTAAATGTTTAATATAAAACTTTGTAAGTTATTGGTTTATTTATATAAATGAAAGAAAGGGACATTTAATAATTTTTTTAAGTTTAAAGGCTCAGAGGGTTAGGCTTCAATAGTAATTATAAGTCTTAGGCTCCAACTGCCATTTTTCTTTGTCCTTTCAAGGAGAAAACTGAAATGAGAAGAAACTCTCCCCCCGACCTCAAACAACTCCGCACTGCTGGGACTTGGCATGTTTGATATGTCACACAGAGGGACCCACGGAATGGGAAAAGGAGACCTGGAAAGCAGTGGTGGCTGAGAGAGATGCGAGGCTGATCGAGGACAGAAACCAGACAGAGGCCGATGGCAATGGGAAAAGAATACTGAGCTAATGGTGGTAGTGGTGGAGTTAGGGGCAGGCCTGGGCAGCAAGGGACACACACCAGAGGTGCCAATTCCAATGAAGAATGAGGAAACCAGAGCGTCCCAGGATCCCCACCTGTGATTGGGGTAATATATGTCTACTGCTATAAAGAGGCGTACACTGGCGGCCAGTCAGTCAGTTCTCAGGCTCCCTACCCCACAGAAGGAGAAATGGGAAAGCCAGGCAGGGCCTGCTGACCACAAGGCCATGTGCTTCTGCCCCAAGTGAAGCATAAACAACTCACCCACCACCAACAAATGCTGAACAGAATGTTGGGTTTCACCTAGTGGTCTTCCGCTGGGGAAATTTTTCTCACCAGAACCCTGGGCAATGTCTACAGCCTTTATTTGGAGGGTGCTACTGGCATCTAGTGGGTAGAGGTTAGGGTGCAGCTAAGCATTTACAATGCCTGCGACAACCACCAACAGAGAATTTTCGGGCCCCAATGTCAGCAGTGGCAGGATTGAGAAACCCTGACCTAACCCAAAAAAGGGGGACTGGAGATTGCCCATAAAAATTAGTCACCCTGAATCTCTGTCAAAAACAACATTACAGTCCATTCCTGAAAGTTACAGTCTACCTGCTCTTGCGCTCTCTGCCTGTTCCCACAAAGGAATGACACAAGATTAACAGTAAAATGACAGGCGTGAGACAGTTAATGATTGGGGAAATTTTTCAGAAAGACAAGAGGGCTGCTTTGCTGGTCAGGCTGTGATCTCCCTCTGCTCCCAGGCCCAGGGGCAGGATGGGCGGGGTCAGGAAACAGCTGCTCTTTAAGAGTCCCTGACCCAGCGAAGGAGCTGTGTTTTGATGAGTGAGGAAGTGAGTTAGGGAGTAGAAGCTTCAAACCCACTGACTTCTCAGTCACTCTCTGAGATCCTCAGAAGGAAAGGCAGTGTAAGGTCAGTTACTCCAGAAAAGCCTGTGGATGCCAAGGAACATACCTAAGAGGGACACCAGCCCCTTCAGAGGTGGCCCAGGGCAGCGCAGTCCAGAGGCGGAGCCGGTCTGGACCCACATCTCCGGACTCGGGGTGCAAGTACCTGCTCTATTGTCTTGCTTCTTCATGCTTCACCCCACCTGGAGGAAAGCCTCCCCTTCCAGGGAACATCCCAGACTCTGCTCACTGTGTAACTGATGCTGCTGATGGACTAAAGTCAAACAAAGCTGGCTGAGTTTTCTTCTATGCTAATCAGGCCACTGACACTTTGTAAAAATGATGCTTCAATGCGTCCAGTGGAGACAACCCCTATGTCCCACAAAATATGGTTCATCCATATGGTGGAATATTATTTGGCAATAAAAAGGAACAAAGTAGTAACACGTGCTACAATGTGGTTAACTTTGAAAACATGATAAGTGAAAGACACCAGGTATAAAAGGTCACATAGTGTATGATTCTGCTCATAGGAAATGCCCAGAGTAGGCAAATCTATGGAGGCAGAAAGTACATTAGTGTAGCCCAGAGTTGGTAAGAACCAGGAGGGGAGGTAGGGAGGTGGGGAGGGGGGCCGTGGGTGGTGGCTAAGGGGTGTGGGGCTTCTTTCTGGGGTGATAAAAATGTCCTGGAATAGGACAGTGGTGATGGCTACACAACCTTGTGAATATATGAAAAACCACTGAATTATACACTTAAAGATGGTGAATTTATGGTATGTGAATTATACTTCAGCTAAAAAATAATAAAATAAAATATATAAGATGTCTTAAGACCTAGGAATAGATCAGGCCTTAGGAACACAGGCAAGAGGGGCTTAGAATCAAAGACCTAAACTGAGAGGTTCTTCTGTAATCCCTTCCTGTGCCCCAAATCTTCACTCATCCTGCATAGTTTTTGAGAAGGGAACATGAGATTAAGTGCATGGAAGTACTTTGTAAACTGCAGTAATGGTAACGATGTAGAAGAGCAGATTTCTCTGCGGGAAGCAGAGAAGCTACTGCGGCCTAACTTCTCAGTTGCAGGTAACTGGCCACCAATGTTCCTTTGCCTCTACTAAGTGTGTAGAAGAATCTTCTGCCTACAGACAAGATAACTCATTAACGGCCTCTCCTTGAGAGAGGAGGGGAAGGAGGGTTCAATCTTGCAGCCTCTGAAAATGTTCTTGCCAGTCCCTGCACAATAGGCCAGAGCTACCCTGCCAGGAGCCGAAGGTCAGCCAGGGCTGCTGAGGTAAAGACAGGTTCCTCTTCTCTCCTGCTCCCAGCCACACGCAGACCTTTGCGTGTTATCAGTCAACTTCCCCGTGCTCTCCCACAGAGAAGGCGCCTGAGTCACCCAGATACTGGCAGGGCCATTTCCTGGACCTGCAGGGCTCCCCATCCAGCTGTTCTTTCTTCAGGCCAACACCCAGCCTCGCCATGGGCAGGAGTTTTGACCAAAGGCCTTAAAGAGTTCTCTAAGAGAACGTGGGAGATGGTAGGGTCAGCCCTGCAGCTGCAGGAGTGACCTGCTCAGAAGCCTGAGACCCAGCCAAGCGCAGTCCAGACCAACTGTGGACTCAGAGGACCAATTCCCCAATTTGCCCAGAGCAAGAAGCAGCCGGCCAAAGCCAGGCCAGGTCAAAAGCAGTCCCACAGAAACTGTCACGGTGCAGCCATGCACTCTGAGCCCCAGAATGCACCTCTGCAACCACAGAAACCCCAGAATCGGCTGCAGCCATAGACAGACACACATAATTTTGCAGCCCCAAATGATAATATGAAGAGGAAAAACCCAGATTCAATTGTATACAGACATTAAGACACACAGGTACACAGCACGCTGAGCTCACTCAGTCACTGTCACACAGCAACTCACACCAAGAGGCAGACCCAGAGGGGTGTGCAGTCAGGGAAGCAATTTGACATGAGCACCCCATCACCTCTCTCTCAGCATCACAGGCAGTTCCCAGAGGACAGGTCACAGAGCCACACGAGTGAAGCCACATACAGTGTCAGACACAGCCAGGCACACAGGGAAAGGCCCGAGCAGTCCCAGGATCACAACTCACAGACCAGCATCTCACACGGTCACCAATCAGGAGACCCGGTCACACACCCGGCCTCCCACAGTCACTCCCAGAGGGGGTTCACACCCACACACAGCCACTTGTAGATGGGTGTCACACGCACATCCTCACTGCGGTCACCCGCAAATAAGTATCACATCTGTCCACAAACACTTGCAAACGGGTCGCACCCGCACCGTCACTCCAGCAAGGCGGAGGGAGGGTCACACACACACACACACACAGTCACCCCAGACGGGATCACACAGTCTCATGCATAGTCACCCCCAGACAGGGGTCACACCCTCACATACAGTCACCCCAGGGAGGGGGTCACACACACGTCACCCCGGACGGGTGTCACGCCCGTACACAGTCGCTGCAGTCACCCCAGACAGGGGTCACACCGCACAGTCACCGCCGGACCGGGATGACACCCGCACACACGGTCTCCCAGACAGAAATCCCCGGCTGGCTGCCCCGGCGGGGTCGTAAGCGCGTCCCCGCAGGTCCGGCCCCCTCGCAGCTGTTCTCCGCCCCCCACTCGCGGCCCAGGCCTGGCGCGGCGGCTGCTGGGCCGGGCGGGGGCCGCGGGCCCGGGGCTCACCTCGCTGTTGCTGGCGGAGGAGGAGGCGGCGCTGGGCGTGGGCGAGCGTTGCAGGGTCACCAAGGCCATGGCTGCGGCGCGGCGCGCGAGTGCCGCCGAGACCCTAAGATAGAGCCGCTGCCGCCGCCCGGGCCGGGCCCGGGGCGCTCCAGGAGCCGCGCGCGGGCGGCCGGGCCGAGCCGGGCCGGGCCCGCCCCTCCCCCTCGGCGCCCGCCGCGCCCCCGCCCCCGCCTCCCGCGCCGGCGCGCGCCGTGCCCGGAGCGCTGACGGGGTGGCCGGGGCGGGGCGCGGGGCGGCGCGCGTGCGCGTGCGCGGCGCGGGATCCCGGAGCGGCGGCGCGAGACCCAGTGGGCCAGTCACGTCCCCTGCGCGCGCCGTCCGCGGGCCCCCGTCCGCGCGCTCCCCTCGCCTGCCTGGGGACCGGGACCGCGCGCGGCCGCGAGCACTTCCGTCTTTGCAGACGAGCCCTCAGCGGGTAAACTGAGGCCCGGCGACTGCGCAGCTAGGAGCGGGCGGGGAGGTGCAGGGACCAGGAAATAAAGACCTGGTCGCTGTGCCGCGAACCCCCGACAGGCAGTCTGCAGAAATTAATTCGTTCGTTCATTCGTTTATGAAATATTTATTGAGCATCTACTAAGTGTCAGGCATGGATATGCAACAGTGAGCAAAATAGATTTGGCCAGCCCTCAGGGATTTTACAGAGGTGAATCCAGTTACTAAGTATGTTTTTAAATTATTTTGCTGATTCTTATATACATGAATGTCTTCTATTTGTCCATAAACCCATCAACACCTTGGGAAGTTGAGGAAGGATTCTCAGAGAAGGGGACGTTTGCTCTGAGTACTGATGGATGAGCAGGATTAACGGGTGAAGGGAAGAGAGACGGCCCCGAGTGGGTTGTAGGGGACAGACCCTAAAAGTGGAAGGAGGTTGCCCATCAGAGGCCAGATCCCAGGGAGGGGAGGAGGGAGAGAGTGGCAAGTTGCTCTAGAAAACTCTGGGTGTTGCATGAAGAACAGAGGAGTGAAGGGAGACGAGGAAGGGGGCTGCTGTTGTCATCTTGAGGAGAGGTGACCAGTATGGGGCTGGAGAGAGGGATGTGGAGTAAGATACCAAGAGAGCGGCACTGGCTTGACTTGGTAATAGGAAGCTTCTCTCTCATCCAAAATAACCTCCCTCAACTTTGTCTCCACGGGTATTGCACAAGGACCCCCGCATGCAGTAGTCCAGTTCTGCATCTTAGCAAAGGGCTCACCATCCATCCCACTGTCACCCAGAAACCCAGGTGGTCACCTGGCTCTCTCCCTCTGCCTCCCTCAGATCTGCAGGCTGGGATCTCCTGTGTATTCCTGAGATCTGGCTCTCAGCACCATTCATCTCCAAGATGGGTCTCAATGGGGCTACTACAGCCCCTTGGAGTGTTTTGTTTTGGGTTGTTGTTTTTTTTAATTAAGGGGAATATTTTTGGTGAGTAGCTGGAAAGCAGAGAGTCACTGACATTTAGAGGGCAGGATCCAGGAGGCTAAAAGTCCTGAGTGTCCACTGAACAGTCCCCCCAAAGAAGAATTGCTCCATTCCCACAAGACACCTGCGTAGGTGAAAAACCCTTTCATGATTATCTGAAGCCAGAACCTAACTCCATTTTATGTATCAACACAAAGGATCTTTCACTGAATTTTCAAAAATGCAACTCTATTCATGTAGAGGGAAAAATAGACTGTCCTGTTGGAGAGCTTTGTCAGTTCACTATTTGCCAAAAGTCTACAGAGGACAACACCACCCCGAACAGCAGAGCAGCTGACCCAACAGATTTGCATTTGTAGCTATCATCTTAGACAGACAGCCACACTTATTTAGCACTTACTTAAAAATATCAAATATAAGATAAAATTGTGGACACAATTTAGCTGGATAGTGAATATCTTGTTTCTCAAATCCAAATACACTCATTAAAAATAGACACAAGCTTCTGTGACTTTGTTACTAAGTACTTACATATTGAATTGCATGTTTCCTTATGACTATTTTCCTTTATGTCTCCTTCACATTACAGTTAGGGTATTATAGAGTTGGGGTCTTTATATTACATGTGTAGGTGGGCTTGATTATTTGTAGATTTTGTTTTTGATTAGTAATCACAAACTATTTGTAAGAGGGGTGTGGCTTTTAGGGTCTAGAACCCTAGGCCAGAGGTTCTCAAATTTGTTTGAAAGTCTAAAGGAAACAGACTTCTAGGTCCCACCCTCCAGTGATTCTGATTCTCCCAGTTACGGGAGAGACTGGAAATTTTGCGTTTCTAACAATTCCTCAGTGATGCCAATGGACTTGGTCTGGGGACTACAGTCTGAGAACCATTGCCCAAAAAAATGCTGAGGCCTTTCTACTGGTCTTCCCTCCCTTTTCTTCCTCTCCAATCCTTCAAGAAATCCATACCAAGAGGAGCTTGGATGACTTTTCCAGAGGTCATCTCCATTCTTTCTGTTAAAAAGACAGAGCCAGCATGGTCTGACTTCTGCTAGGCCGAGTTGCCAAACTGTGGTTTAACACCTAACTTAATTGCAGTTTCAATCTCCCCAAGAAATGTGGTCAGTCAGGAATTTTCTGGTCAGCTCCGATAAGAGAAGGTCCCATGTGTCCTCTCCATCCCCCAAAGGAATCTCAGTAATGAGACCCTTTTGTCCCCAGATGAAGGAGATGACATCCAAAGTATTTTTTTTCTTCTTATGACTTCCTTGTTCTGCCTTAGAAAACCTCTCCCTTTCTGTAGCCCTTTGGGGCATCTCTCTACTTGCTAGCAGGTATGCTGCCCGATTGATGAATTGCTTAATAAAGCCCATTAGCTCTCCACAATTACTCGGATGAATTTTATTTTTTAACACTTCTCATTTCCTCCAAGAGCTGGGAGGCCCTCTTCCCTCCCATAGCTAACTCCTGCTGGACACCACCTTCCCAAAGCCCCTAGGCTTAGTCCAGTGTCCTTCCCAGGATTCCACAGCCACCCCACCCCCCACCCCGTCTACCTGCAAACACACAGCAGGTGTCACTGGGCATTTTCATAACTACCTCTCTGTCTTGTCACACGGTCCCAACGACAAATCTCAGGAGCAGGGCTGAGACCAGGGTGAGGATACAAAATGTAAGGGGGCACCAAAAAACCTCAGTAACCAAGAGAAATATTATTTTGATACAACATTTTGGAGAATCAACGTTAATGCCAAAAAATCCACAATGAACAAAATGTCAACATTTTCAATAAAAGTAGAATCTGTACTGTTATTACTGATTTTCTGTTTATTTTCAGGGCATTTCTTTGATCCTGTCTTTATTTAAAACTTTGGTCAGGCTAAACCCTTCTGTGGAAATGTTCTGTGGACTGAACTCTATGGCCTTTAAGAGTGGTAGGGCTGTAGGGGGAGGAATGGAGAAATGAAAGTCTCCAGGCCTCAATCTGTCTGCCTCAAGGGACCCCAGAAAGGGAGGAGGGGACCCAGCTAGAAGAGGCAGCTCCAAAGTTTTCTTACATCCAGTAAAACCCTTTCATTCATTATCACCATAATTTTTAAATCATAATTCAGTTAATCATCTTTGACCTCATCCTTGTAGTCTCAGCTTAATTTTGTAACTATTAAAAATGACAAGTTACTGAGTTATTTGCTGTCTGCTAGGTATTATGCAAAGTGCTCTGTGAGTGTGCTGGAGACACAGTTTATTCACACGTGAATGTCCCCCGTGCATACTCCAGGGTCACCTCTTCCAGGAAGCCTTCCCAGATCTGAGACTGGATTTGGTAACCCTTTTCTGTGCTTCTGCAGCCTCAGTGCCCAGTCCTGGGATGTACTGCTTTATTTGTTTCTTATCACACTGCTGTGATTCTCATTTCGTGAATGAGGAAATCGATGGGAAGAGTAGTTAAATCACATGCCCAAGGTCACATAGCTAGGGAGTGGTAAAGCTGGGATTGGAAGTCACGTTTTCCTGCTTCCAGCAAAAGACAGAGGTTCTCCAGGACAGCCGAGAAGAGGGGAGGGAAGAGAACTCTACTGCTAGTTCCCTTTTTAGAGCAACTAATTTGCAATTCCTCCTTAACTATTTGGAAATGAAATTCAGAGGTCATAAAACTCTTGTCAGCTGAATAATGCCTCTGTCACCCAAAGATGTCTACATCCCAATCCCAGGAACCTGGAAATAGGTTACCTGACATAGCAGGTGATTTAGCAGGTGCGACTAGATTAAAGCTGTTAACGTGGGGGGAGGGGTTTACCCTGGATTATCCAGGTGGGCCGGACAGAATCCCAAGAATCCCCGTAAGCAGAGGGGAGGAGCAGAGAGTAGGAGCTGTGACAACAGAAGCAGTAGGTAGGCATGATGTGAGGGAGGCCAAGAGCCAAGGAATGCAGGCGGACTCTAGAAGCAGGGCCGGAGACACAGTTCTCCCCCTCACAGTCTCCAGGAAGAATGCAGCCCTGCTGTCACCTTGATTTCGGACTTCTGACCTTCTAGAACTACAAGAGAGTAAATTTCTGTTGTTTTAAGCCACTGCCTTTCTGGTAATTGGTTAGAGCAGCAATAGAAAATGAATATAAAAGCCAAACTACACATGTACTGTTAAAAAAAAAAAAACTTTACCATATCATAATCCAATATGTTCCAGGCACTCCTTGGACATTGAATCATTTCCTCACAACCTCAATTTAGTCAACAAACATTTGTGAAGCATCTATACTCTGCTGGGCACTAGACTCAGAATTTGGGGTCTGTCAGCGAATGAAACAGAATCGCTATCTTCGGAGGGCATCAATCAAGTGGGGGAATATAGTCAAACAACAAACAAGCAAACATAGTTGCTATAATGTATGTGAAATATGTTGTATTTAAATGAATTAATGTCAGTAAAGTTCTTAGAACAAGACGGGCACAGATAAGCATCAAATAAATGAAATATGATGTCAAGTTGTCCAAAGGACTTGAGAGAAAAACAAAGCAGGCTAAGGGGAAAGGAGGATAGAGGGAGCTGTTTAGACAAGTGGTCAGGGGAACCTCTGGACAAGGTGATATTTGAGCAGAGGAATCACATGACAACCCCACCGGGTAGGTGCAGAGACCTTGAGATCTGCTTGGTTTAAACTGCCCCCCCACCCCCAGCCTAGGAGCTGTAGGGCTCCAGGTGAAGCATGTCCTCTGTAAAATG